TCCGTATGGACCCATATCTGTTGTTACCTCTTCTTATTGCTTGAAATGTCTATGCAGTTTTCTTTTCACTTCACATTCTGACATGTTCTATTTTCCACGACGTAGTTGTCCTAGACACTTTTGCCTGATTCCTGCTTCTAATTATTTCATGATGACTTTTGTGGATGTGTTCATTGTAAATTTTTCCTTCAATTTTTGTGTAATGTATATGAAATGTGATCTCTCTATAGCTTCTTCGAAGGCTGTGAACTTGATCTTGAACGTTCATTTTGGTAGATAATGACCCGAAACCACATACTCACAGTTTCTCGATCTTCCTTTCACTGGACTGAATCTGCACATTCTTCAGTTTTGGGTGGCATCGATTTGATATGTGGTGTGTTCATAGGGTAAAACTGACACCGTCTTATTCCTATCCTTGTGCTTGTACACCCTGCTTCCAGTCACCAATCACACCAATGAAAGGCGTCGAAGTCTGTAAGGAGTTCTTTGTTCTCATTCATTTCACCGAGAGCTTTTCGGCCGATGGTCATTTCTCTTCCTGTGTTGTTTGCTCCCAGTTTGGCAAACATGTTACTCATTAAGACTTTGGTGTTGCCGTTTACCTATATTCATACCCACTACTTTTTGGTCTGAAAATCCCTTCATGAACAATCTATTTGCAATAGTGATTGATACGTATTTGAATATTTCAACTAATTTTATAATTTCTACCCTTTTCCAACATTTGCATATCTTCTTTTGGCTTAATCCTTGTTATTTGTTATTGTTTCTGCGTGATCTCTACTTCTAGTGGTTCATTTTAGCCGTGTATGGTGATAGAGTGTTGATAATTATTGGGTTGTTTTACAATCACGATTTTGTTTGCATGGATTCAGAGTTATTCCATGAAGTGACTCTGAATTCACCTTGGACTGTCTGTGAGAAACGTGTTTTGTTCTGTTTGTTTCTTGTGGACACAGTTTTGATTCCACCTTGTTGGGAATATTCTTATAGTCTTCCACTAATTACGTGTTTTATACCTGAGAAACCTTTGCTCTGTATAACTCCTGGATGACATAGTTTAGGTGGTTTCCATTTTTTACGTAAGTCATTAGTGTTCAGTAGATTCTATCTGACCACTCGGTGTTTTTATACCGTTGAAGGATAAATTTTATGCAGCTATTCACTTTTTCATGATGATCAAAATGATGTAGAAATCAGCATAATACCACATCACATCTCCGTGTCGAATAGTCAGAGCCTGTTAGCAGAAATCCTCTAAATAAGAAGTATACTACAGCCTCATGTATCCTCACTTTATTCGTCTTATGCTGGATGATATTTTCCTCTAGGTATCATCAGTCGATTAGCATAAGGCATAATTGTAAGAGTAATGAAGCCTAATTTTAGTTCACCTTTCGCCGACATATCCAAACACAATGTGATTTGAATTACCTAGAATAGCCTAACACAACTCTGTACTCGTGTAAGGATGAAAGTGAAGTCTGTCTACCGACTAAGTCATTTCATAATTTCAGTGTAAAAAGTGAATTCTTCTTAGATCGCTTCTCTTGGAAACTGAAGGGAAGAAAACTTAGGCAGATAAATATTACTGAGTGTTTTACTCTCCATCACCTTCTGTCTAGGACATTTTAGTGAGACGTTTCTCATTCGCATTTGAACTTCATTTCATCAAATTGTTCTTATTATACTAAAAGCGAATTATAAAATCAGTTGTACCTCTTATGCTGAGTTAGTTTCATCTAACATGACTACCTAATATGATTCCATTTGTGTTTTTCTTTATGAATAAATTTGACAGTTTGTCGTCATTTTTTACCTTCTTTATGACCAGATAATAGGATGGCACAATAAGAAGTATTTATACAAAACCCACATCAACTGGTCAGTATACTCATTTTTTTAGCTTCGTGCCCTTGAAATACAAACATAATCTGATGAAGTGATCGGCGTACAGAGCAAGAGCAATCTGCTGTGATGAGTGTCTTAATGAAGAGCATATTATGATCAAACAGTTGCTGAGTGAAAACGATTATCCAGAAAAGTTCATTGATAAGAATATGAATCAAAATTCAAGGCTTCCCAAGGTACCAACAGTTGCAAAACACGCCTTGTTTTTGCTAATTCAGTTCATCGGTAATAACATCAGTGAGATACTAACACAACGCCTTAGGAATGCGGTGAGAATGGCACCCACTGCTGCTGAATAACTCTGTCTTCAAAACCACTCCTATTTTGCGTTCAGGAGTAAAAGATAAACTGCCTAATTTCACATCTACCAGGTGTATCTACCAATTTAACTGCTCCACTGGAGTGAGCCAGTTACATAGGCCGTACAATTAGGAATGTTTCTCGTAGAATTTCCGAACATCACCTAACGTGGTTAAGTGAACGACACACAAAATCTTTTCGTAGCGCTATTTTATTTCATCTTGTGGATACAGAAGACAAGATTGATGTCAACGAGACGGCTTTCAAAGTCATTTACCGTATACCAACAGAACTTGACTTCGCCTTAAGAGTTCGTTTACCAAATAATGCTGAGGCTGGCTGTTGTGATCCAGATTAAGAAGCCTAACTTATGTGTACAAAAGAAGCTAGTTCAGACATTGTCCTTACCTTGGCCATCTAGGTTCAAATGATCCTCAATTTTTTGTAGAAGTTTCCTTAATTTTAGTTGATAATCTGTTTGTTATTGTATTATTATTGTAATTTAAGCATCTTTAGTGGACTGTAATTCCATTGGTCTCACTTACCAAATCGATATTATTTAAAAAATACCGATGTTGGTAATGACGATTATTCGAGAATATTGTATGTATATAAGCATATATATAATTGTAGATGAAGAAGAGGAAATTATCGAATTGAATATTCTTTGCTCAATTATTTTGTTTGTTTTCTTTTCTTTTAACTTAGTTGTACGTTATCCAACATTGTTCACCAGCTAGATAAAATTTAGCTAAAAGGATGTAATTCACTTGGCTACATTACCAACGTCACATGGTGTGATATTTCACACTCTCAGAGGGAAAGTTGATGAAATTTCAGCTTAGGCTGTATACCTCACAAACGTTTAATTTCCTAGTATCATCCATCAGACCAATTCATATATTCAGTAAGTCCCTAATCCCTTATTTCTCTTTATAGCTTAGGTGATAAAAGGATTAGCAAATCACACAGAAGACACATACATGAATTTGTATTCCCTGTGAAAATCAGTCATAATTTTACTATTTGTTTCGGATCAATAAAGTGTAATTAATTAAAATGCTAGGGTTAGCATGATTGTTTTGAAAGATATTTCTTCTGAGAATATATTAGTCTATGAAACGCAATCAATGTGACAACGACCCATAAAGGCTGTTCTAGCAAACTTACACATTACCAACTATGGGCTCACATTTGATCACCTGACAAGGATAGAAGATACCTAGCCGTAATTATGGTACCTTATTAGTCAAACATTTGGTGCACTAGAGGATACTCTTTTCTGTGGTAGTGTCAGTATCTGCGGGATATCTGTTAACTATAAGAAGCGTAGTTGTTAGGGTGGCCTTCAAGCCACTTCCAAGGTGGCTAACAAGATCCATAGATCAGTGTCCAAATGTAGTCATTCGGCTAGAAAGATATTGTTATGTTCAACCTATTATTTTACGTTAGATGTAGGAAGTCAGTGTTTCCGTTAGCGAGTTCTCATTCATTAAAAGTAAAACCTAAGTAAAGCTGGATTTGTTGTCGAGTAACATTCAGTGTTTCACGCCACTAAACTATGTAAAGTTTACAGATGCAATAAACTTTGCACTGATTTCAATTCGTTACCTGATATTTAGTGCCTGTAACGTTTTCGGTTAAGAGTTAAAAGGGAAAACTGTATTTGGACCGTTTTCTATTGTTTTGCATCGGTTACAGTGCATGGTGTTCTGCACATTAAGCTTAGTCTTCTGAAATCAGTGATAGATCCAGGATCCCTGCGATCTGGATATATATATATATATATATATATATATATACCCTTTCAATTACCAAAAACAGTAGACATTTATGACCAGTTGTTCTGTCTTCTAGTGTCAGTTCATTTTGGAGCATTTCGTCAATTTCGGGTTTGGTTATTTGTCATTAATCAATCGTGTCACAAAAAATTATTTTCAACAGGCTGGAGACTTTTTCATCAACGACGATCTTTGCTATCCTGTTACTAAAGATCTAATGGCCGGTCGGAAACGATAAGTCACAAGAAAATCCGGCAGGCAGCGAACTAGTTGAGAAACTGCTGTCCAATAAACATGCAAAAGAAAATGAAAATAAACTTAATATACGATGAGGAGACCAGTGAGCGAGATCACATGCCAGCGCTGTAAACAGAAGCACGAACTGATTACGATAACTTGGTCTTTCTATAGTTATATAGAGGAAATAATATGAATGGAAATAAAATTTTGTAGGCATTATTGGAACCAGATATGAAAATCTTCAGAGAACAGAGCGGAATGGAGATGTGCTGATGAATCCTCCCGTTTTTTGTTTATTCCTTCACGTTCTCTGTGGAACATAGTGCTTCAAGCTAATGGCTTGAAGTTTCTGTAGCAGTATTTGTATTTTTTTGCGGGATGGGTTTGCTAGCCTCATGACCAACCTTTCCTCTCTACCAGCATTATTTCTGGCTTAGCGAGGTAAAGGAATCCGTCGGCCGGGATTCGAACCCGGGACCATGTGCATGGTCGGCGAGCGTCCTAACCTCTGTGACGCCGACTCACGCCTCAAGTTCTACTCCAATAATAATCAACAGATTTCATTTCAGTAAAGTGGGTTCATAAACTAGAACGTTATTTCACGTACACACAAACACACACGAATACTAAGCTTTCGAGTTGAACAATCATCTGTACCTCTAAGTAATAACTCTCGACTGAATCTCAACAATCTCTAAATCTGGTAAGCAAAAGTATTCAACAAGTTTTGTCGATTTTTAATTATTATTATTTGTATAATTTATTATCGATATATGTATATGTAACTACAATTGACAGTAACAAATATTCTGGCTTGAAGAAGAAATTACAAGAATTCAAAAAGACTTGACACTTGGAGGGCATGTGCAGAAGTCATGACCAAATATATATGTATTTGTCTATATTTATGCGATAGTGTATATGTACAATTACTGTAAGCATCAGTCATCTAAAATGCTGTTTCATATTCTTAGACTGTATACTTTCAATTTGAATATATTACTTAATTAATAAATGAGTAGCAACATGGGCAATTGATAAATTTGTTCACGGTGTGCAGTTTCAGGGCCTTATTTTACTCTAATAATTGTATGCTCATGTTTGTTTATATATTCACTTTTCGCCCAAAAAACACTGGATCAGTTTTCTTTTTTACAGACATCCGAAACTTTTTTTGTTCCTCTTATTTTTAATTATCACAACAAAAATGTATAGGATTCTCTTGAGAATTTTGATTTTCATTCATCCCGGACTTATAGCTTGATAGCAAAGAATTCTTTTCCAGCAATTCAAAATTTGATGCAAATATCTGTTTCTCACTTAGATTTGATCCATAATTTTGATGGTGCTGTTGTGGTTGTCGTTGATCCAGTAGTGGAAAGTTTTTATTCGAATGTAAATTGTGTTGAATATCATTACTGGATGATGGTAATAATAATGGTGTGGAGGATGTCGATGAAGACGATGATGAATATGGTGCACTCCAAATCATTTTGTTATGCATGATTTGTGTCGGAGATGTTGAGAATATCTTCGGATTTCTTTCTGAAGGATCTAAGAAGTGTTGCTGTTGAGGTTGTTGTGGTTGTCTATCTTGTAACTGTTGCTGTTCATAGGGTGAGGGTATAGAACATGTCTCTTGGCTATTATTATTGTCTAAAGATGTTATCAATGGATTAGAGTGATAGTCATTTACTGTTTGAAAATACCTTCTGTTTACATCAGAGGGATTCAGTGACATATTATTGTGTGCTCCTCCTATATTTGGTCCATGACATGATGAATACTGATCACGTGGTTCATGTTGCTGATAATCATTGTAATCATTACGCTGAGCATTTGATAATGATGGCGAACCTGTTGAAATTGATATATTAGGCGCTTGTCTATGAAACCTCTGATAATTGAAAGGTAAAGACATAGATTTATTATCATTATATGATGATCCATAAATGTCTGTCTGTAATAAATTTGGAATATTCTGATAAATGTTCAAGGGATTTTGTTGAAGTGAAAAATGCTTTTGTAAATGATAACTTAATTCAGCTTGATAATTCTGGTAATTTGATAACATTGGTTTCTCATAATCTTGATAATGATTGTAACTTGTATTCAGTGAATTCGGTAAACCTTCGGGGTATGTGAATTTCTTTTGGCGTAGATTTTCGTTATTATTGTTATTATTCAACTCATAATGATTGAATGATTTGGTGAACGATTGAGATGATGCTGACGATGGAAAAGCTGAAAAATAAATTCGTCATCAGTATTCCTGCCACAGGTCTTTTCAGCAAAAAATTATGGTAAAAAAATTTCAACCTTTCTTATCTCAATTCCTCTCTCCTTCAATATCACTTTTAATCCCTGAACCTGAGAAACACTAACTGAAGCTGAATCATTTAACTCAGGTTACTTATGATCATTGAAATGATTATAATTTGTGGAAAGGCAATGCAAGCTAAGCTTGTGTGTGTGCTAGTGACTTATGCTTATGTGTATTTCATCCAATCTTGGACTCATCCTCTGACTGTATCTACATTCCCGGTAAGTGATGTTGTTCCCATTGAAACTCGAAGGCAGTACCAATTAATTCAAACGACAAATTGTTATCCACCAGGAAACCTGGTCCATGAAGCCACCTATTGTGCGATGGGCATCAATCATTAATTGTTTTATTTAAGTTTCGTGTTACATATTAACTGACTAACAGCATGTCAAATAACATGTTAATCCACAGACATCGTTGAAGCATATGTACAAAGAGCCGACATATCAACACAGACCGAGAATTTCGGCCCTATATGATCAATCAACGGGGAACACAAAAGTTAGATTATACATCGCTTATACGTTTATCAGTTTTAAATTTCAGTTTCGCCATACTTAATGAATCACTGATAAGTATCGATTTTATTTCAGTCATCTTTAATATTATATCGTATATTTTATACTACTCATTAGTAGTCTAAATATATCTATGAAATTGTTTTAGAAATGGATCTCAACTACACTCCAACATCTTCAAACAGCTCTTCGAATTATATTATCCAAGTGTCCGTTTTCATTAACTATAATATTTCTATGTGCCAAAATACACAATCTAAAACGCTATTGTGGAATCTATTACTTGTATATATATTCATATAACTATGTTGTCCCAGGTATATGTCCAGAGGGAAGAACATACCAACGCATCATGTTTGATGGCATACTCTCTGTTATAATGTGTTATAGTGCAGAGTTACATAGTTCTGAACAGTATTTCCGCCTGGATCCTAGCAATGACAGTAAAATGGCTGACAGAACCTTCTTGAGTTTCACTAAGTATTTCATACAGATTTTAAAAACATAATTACAATGTACTTCGATTAGACACTAGGGACGAGTGTGGTGTGTATAGTCCTTTCTCTTTTTCAGTGTAGACTGAATTCTATCAGTCTCCAACCATCTTAAATCATTAAATCAATGTGCATCGTGATGGCGAGCTACCTAGAATGGTGTCCACATTGCAAAACCTGACTGATAGAATTCAATCTGCACCAAATATGGTGCAGACAGGCTACGGGCTGATTTCCAACCAAAAGTATCCAATACAGTCCTACAGGAGGTAATCGCGAGCCCGAATAGCTCAATGGTAACGTCTCTGACTGCACCACTCACTGGGTGACACGGTTTCGAATCTCAAAAGGGATATGAGTTCCGTCGAGGTTGCAGATACGCCTTGCTGACTGGTGAGTGCCAACTAGGAGGAAATCTAGTTTGAAGGCTTCCTGTGGCTGATCATAATTACAGTGTATTACATGGAATATATTTGAAGCAGTAACAAAGTGAAAAGTATTGAGCTGCTTGGTCAGTCAGGGATTCAGTCTGAAAATTTACTAAAAACTACAGCTGATATGGGAACGTATGCTACGCTACCAGTCACTACTTTTTTTATATTCAGCCCCTCGATCTTCAGACCATTTTTTACCAGAAACCTATTTGTTTCACTAAGGTCACAAATATGGCGACGGGAAACTACTGTACTCCGTCTTCACTACCCTGGAGCACGTGACACTAATTAAGACTGCCGTAACATGAAATAATATAAAGCCTTAAGAAAATAGATTTGTATCATTTACCTGAACCGTCGGAAATTTTATCACGTAACGGAAAAGATTGTTCTGGTAGAAATTTTGAGAATGAACCAGGGACTGATAACGGATGTGAATCAGTTGATGAATTGGAATTAAACAAATTGGGAGTGAAAATAGAACTTTTATTTGTATGATATAATTCACTTGTTGAACATGGTGTTCGGTAAAAGGCATTCGATAGTGCACATGCCACTGGAGTTGAAGGTGCTGATGATACAGAGGCCGCGGCTGCTGCGGCGGCGGCGGCAGCAGCTGCAGCGACAGCAACTGTCAGACTGTAATCCTTTCGTTTTTTCGATTTTCTCTTTCTTGTCTGTATGGCATCCTTTCGCATTGATGTTGGTCGAGTTCTCTACAGGAAAAAGAGGAAAACATGAAGCACAGCCTTAATTTCATTGGATAAGCACAATACTGAGATACTAGCTCTGTCTGCCACCTTGAACTTCCTGTCTTTTGTCTCCAGACTTCTGATAATAATAATAATAATAATAATAATAATAATTCATAATGCATTGAGATGGCAGCTTACCTGACCTGATGTCCACACTGAAAGACTGACTGACAGACATCAGCCAGCATCAACACCAAAGACTAGACAAATGATAGGGGTTACCCCTCAGTAACTAATCAGCATAAAGAACTTCTTGTCCTACTTTGAAGTCCTTATAAAAGTTGTGGATAATAAGCAGTCATTTCAGCAGTGTTGTCCGCTAAACTATAATAGTTCATGTGTTCGTACATATCAATTGCTTTGAGTCCTGAGTGGAACACAGGCCCTGAAGCATGAGGTTTTAGGTTTCTGTAGCAGTGGTGATTTCTAACTGCTGACTGGGGTTGCTGGCCGCATGCTTTTCATCTCTTTGTAGGCTTTACTTCCAGATAATTGAGGTTTAGGAATGCTTCCGATGGGGATCGAATCATGAACTGCGTGTGATAGGAATGACAGGAAGATTCTATAAATCTGTAACACAGCCCATCAGTTGGTATGTGTAAAGGCTACACAACGTTTAAAATCTGAGATTCCAATGTGAAAAACAGTAAATATTTTTCTGCTTTTATAAATTCAGTAAGTTTTCCATATTACTCAAGAGGAAACCTATTTCATCGAGAAAAAGCCTAGACAATAAATTCATTACATTTACCAGCTTTTTGTTGCAAACTAATATCAGTTCGCGAGACTACAGGAAACCAGACAGCGCTAGATATTTGTTTCGTCCTCTTTCGTGACTCTTCAACAGTGAACACGCGCATTCCTACCAGGGGTTGAATTCAGGAACTTTAGGTTACGAGATCAAGCTCCTTGAACAGCCAGCCATTTGAGCTGGAATTCGTGTACCCATGGATTCTAAATCTATCAATGCGTGATATAGCTCTACCCCCACCAGTACATTCGATGAGCATCAATTTCCCCCTTGGCATTGTGAATCCCACTGGTCACAACTTTTCACTACCCATTCAACGTGGACAGGTGCGCACTGATGAAGAAACTCAGGAAATAACAAAAGTGCGCTCCAGTATTCCCTGGTTTCCAATGGTCTCTAACTGACTGAAGTTGGTTCAAATCAATATTACTTCAAAATTGCTATTGCTTTTCAAAGTTTCGATGCCAGCATTTTAGTTACTGCTTCTCCTTTAAAAGGTAAAGTCATGTATACGCGCTTCTTCTGCATATTTTTCAGGCATTTCTTTCTATCTGTTTGCCTTTTTCCAAGGTATCTCTTCTTCGAATATAAAAAGTTTTCCATTTTCCTTATTTCATCGTCTAGAGTGTCGATTGTGCAGATTTCTCTAGCATAATACTGATGACAAGACTTAGTTTGTTTGCAAGAGGAACAAACGACTTAAAACGGGGGGAATTGCCCAACCCCCTTTCTTGACACTGCCATCTTGCCTGCCTGTTAGCAGGACATTAAGGACATTTCATGTGTGAACTCAATTTCTGAGTAAGCCATGTAATAATTAACTATCTTTAAGACATACTTGACATTTAAACTAAGATTATATTGTAAAAGCAAAACTTAGTGGTAAGATAAAATGCAAAGTGAATTTATGTTACGCCACTCAACAGTTTAACAAATTCCCACTATTTGATACACTTCAAATGAATAACAGAATCTGTATGCCTGAATTTATCACAGGCCACCAACCACCATTAGAAATCTTGGGAAATAACAACATGAAAAAGGAACATCACAAATACACAAACAAACACACACACACAAAGTTCAGTTGATTGCACAAACACACATACACAGTTTGAAATTTATCTGCATGTCAACAACACAAAGGTAATTGAAAGATAATGTCATTGGGGGGTTGGTGTGTTACCATGTCTCACTTACATTTCCCCTTTATCTCTGCGATATTACATAATCCAGTCGATTTACAATTAAAGATAACAGAATTACTCATTTTGATGTTACAGTTTGTCTAGTTTAGTTGTCACAGTGATGAACAAATTGTTGCGCCTATTCATCCCACTGTGAATAAACTTAATCGGAACAAATGTTTGTAAATTAATGGATAAATATATCACTTGTCATGTTTGTATACGTCATGTTTGTTATTTCTGTGTCAAACAGTCAGAGCTGTTTACTTCAAACTCACCTTTGACACTTAGAAAATCACAATAGTGTGTAAGTGTTGAATTACCAGTCCCTAGAAGACGGCTTAAATGTATAGCCTAAAATAGCCAAGCAGAAATACATATTTCACAGTGTGTCAAGAAGTCCCAAATGCATCACTAATAAGATATTAAAGTTAGGTGCGTAAAAATTGCTCCTCCAGTCTAATTTATCATCCATATAAAAAGCCTTTCTTCAATTATACAGTCGGCCTTGGAAAAGAGAGCGGTGAAATGTATTGTAATCAGTCTAAAAGCCTTTGTTTATTGACAGCAGACTTCTTTTTTCATAGAATCATTAATTTGCCGAGTAATTTAAAAAAAGACCATCGACCGCTTTTATTCAGTGGATGGTTACACTAGCAAGAGAATCCAAGATGCACATTTCTTTCTGTTTGTGACTCATCATCCGGATGCTTCTGCAATCTTCAGCTCTTTTGAATCCTGCTTACCTTGTTTAAGTGCTGTTTAAAGAACCACTATTATTCACATTGAAGTTCCTAATTGTTGACATCCAATGTTTTAGCTACAATGTTTCACCAGTTTTTCAATGGCACAACTTTGTAATGAAGTTACATTGTCATTTCTAAGGAAAAAAATTCGTATTCTGTGCACTTCACCTCCTACCACTTTAAAGTGCAACGGCGATTATTACTATATTATAATTACTACTACTATTATTGTAAATAACTTACACCATGTAATTTTTGATATAGTCCACATGCATTGCAAACTGGTTGTCCATCAAGATTACGTCTCCATAAAGTGGTTTGAGTAGTCTCACAATTTGAACAAACCAGACCAATTCTTCGATTAGTTTGCTATAAACAAATATGAAGACAAAAGAAGATCATCTTAGTTAGAGTTGTATTCAATTCAATAATCGTTAGAAAATATCACAAAGGTAACACTGATTATATAACAAACTCTGTTCAGAAGAAAGGCCTCACAGTACTCACCAATGACTGCAACATTACAATGCCTTTTCCTGTTAATTAAGGAAGATTTATTACGAAAGTGAAACCTCAAATAACTTTGGACTAGGAATTCCAAACTTTTTACAGGAAATTTACTCCGCTATTATTTGAAACACCTATAAACACTCTTCACTCTTCTGTATGAGCATTAATAACGTAGCAATACCGAGATATTAACTAGCCGCCCCATAATTTCTTGTGAAATCCATTCAAGACAGGAGATTTTGCTGTCTGTGGACAATAACTCTATGGTAGTACACAAAGGTAACTGTCGAACTGATTGAATATACTTGACTTTTCTATATAATCGGATTATATTCATAGATCCCCAGTAAAAGGTATAGCTATATGAAAACGATGAGTTACGAGATGAATTTATCAAAGAGACATTATCAATTTTCAAGTATTGGTTTTTGTAGGGATTTTGTTTGATTGCATGGAGGATTTAATCATAAGCTGACATCAGTTAGAGAACCACTGGAAAACCTGGGAGTACTGGACAGCCGTTTCGTCCTAGTTTGGGACTCCTCAGCAGTACGCACCCACCGGGATTCGAACCCAGGACCTTCTGGTTACAAGGCGAGCTCGTAGACCATTGAGCCACTGGGACCCGATCCAATGGTCCTTGAATTCTAACTTCTGCCAGTTCACGACAGAAGGTCCTGGGTTCGAATCCCGGTGGGTGCGTACTGCTGAGGAGTCCCAAACTAGGACGAAACGGCTGTCCAGTACTCCCAGGTTTTCCAGTGGTTCTCTAACTGATGTCAGCTCATGATTAAATCCTCCATGCAATCAAACAAAATCCCTACAAAAACCAATACTTGAAAATTCATCTGATGCTCACTAGTGACTGGCCCTATTCAGGCAGTTAACCTGGGGTTCTAGTGGGAAGCCGTGACCAGTAGGGTACAGCAGGTCGAAGATGAGGCAGTAACTACATCGAAGAAGACATTGCGAAGTGGTCGCGCTATGTCGTGAACTGGCAGAAGTTAGAATTCAAGGACCATTGGATCGGGTCCCAGTGGCTCAATGGTCTACGAGCTCGCCTTGTAACCAGAAGGTCCTGGGTTCGAATCCCGGTGGGTGCGTACATTATCAATTGCAGACTTAGTGAATTAGTCGAAATGTATATGTGCATATGTGATATTATGATTTAGAATAATAAATTATGAGGCAATCACATCATTTTCCATTCACTGGGTAAAAATCCAAAGTCATGGGAGTTACATATTCCCACCACTTCTCTTGCTACAGTATACAACCACCATTCTTCACTTAGATTCCCTTGGATTTCCAAAAATGGAGTCTGAGCATGGAAAGTAACTACGAAGGTTAAATTTTCAAACAACTATGAAAAAGTGTTTACAAGGTTATTACACATTGAGTTTTTTCTCCTGATAACAACTAGTGTATTAACTGAAGGCACAAATACTCCTAAGATAAATAACTTTGTGATGAACTTTACTTGGTGGGAAATATATGATGAAAGCAGTTTGAAGAAAGTAGACAACCATCTGCATCCCTTAAATAAGTCATATCTATGATTGGACACTGGTAACGAGTGTGATGTGTCTAGTCCTTTCTCTTTTTTTGGTGCAGATTGAATTCTATCAGTCAGGTTTGCAATGTGGCCACCATTCTAGGTAGCTCGCCATCACGATGCATATTGACTTGATGATATCAGATGGTTGGAGGCAACCGGCCACAGGAAGCCTTCCAACTAGATTTCCTCCTAGTTGGTACTTATCAGTCAGTAAGGTGTATCTGCACTCTTCAAGGAACTCATGTCCCCTCTGAGATTCGAACCCGTGTCACCCAGTGAATGGTGCAGTCAGAGACGCTACCACTGAGCTATTCTGGTTCGCGATTGACCTCCTGTAGGACTGTATTGGGTACTGTGACTGGACACTAGCAACTGGTGTGATGTGTTTAGTTCTTTCTTTTTTTTTTGGTGCAGACAGAATTCTGTCCATCACGAAGCCTAGGTCCACAGCTTCCTACCGATTGTCTGCGACTATCTAATATCCTCAAATAAGTCATGTCTTTTGGAGTTTGAAGCAAAATCTGCAATACTTTTCATTTGCTGCAAAGTGTAATATAACATATGAAAGTGCTAATGGATTTTTGCCAAAGAAAATCATTGAAATGGTAGCAGTCTGACTGGTTAGATGATTCGGTATTTAACTTCGTTATTCAATAACACAGATTATAATTTCAGACAGTGTATACATTTCCTCAGGATTAGAGAAACATTTTACTGATGAGATACAACACGAATGATTTTAAGCCTCAGAACTTTCTTTTAACCAATGTCCAGTATAGCGAGAATTGATAAGGAGGCTGTATAATTCCCAAGGCTATTGTAGAAGAAATTGTGGTATTAACTTATAAAGTATAAAATCTGATGGTTATTACTAAAAGAGATTGCTGGTTTTTCTTTGAAGAGTATTTAATCAAATAAAAGCCTAGAAGTTAATTGGTGGATGGTGATTAGCAGTGGAATCTAAAACAACGGACATTTCGTCCCGTTTGGGACTCGTCACCTGGATGCACCTGGATTCCACAGTCACTGAGTGATGGTGTTCCCACCGAGGCTCGAACCCAGTGCCCATAGATCCAAACACCAAAACATTATCCACTAGGCCACTTGGAATGAAAGTAAATCCAAGTATATCCAGATGACGAGTCCCAAGTAGGACGAAATGCACGTTGTCCTGGATTCCACTACTAGTCATCATCCACCAATTAACTTCTAATTACATGCCCAAACATCGTCGAAGTATTTGCACAAGGAGCCGGCATGTCAATTTGACACCAAGCACTTCAATCCAGTGAATCGACGGGAAAATCTAAAGTTGAATTCAATAAAAACCTGTTTTCCCTCTATGAAATCAGCAAATTATTACTCTTGCACTTTTTTTCAAAAACAGAAATGGTCGCCAATCCATGAAAGACAGAGACACAGGGAGACAGAGAGAGATGGATGGATGGATGGATAACATTTCACGGTTAGATTGTAGTTTCACTTAGCCAAATATACCACACCGCTCACCTACCCCACATTTAACCAGTACAAAGGAACATAAAGAAAAAGGCTAAATATATACACAGGAAAGCACATAATATGAGGCACACAGAAGTGTTGTATACACATGTGAAAATTAGCCATAAACTTTAAGACAAAGTTTTATTTTTCAAAATTTGGACAAAAATGAATGTGTAAGAAAAGGAAGTACAGGACGAACCAGTTTTAAACAGCCCACATATACACACACAAAAAAAACCCACTTTTTATTTCTCAGTCAAGTATTTTTTTGGTTACAGACAGCAATAGACGACAGTGAGTCAAGTCAAAAGAAGTCAGAGAAGTAAGTTCCTCTCTTTTCCAAATAAAAAACACTAAACTTTGGATGCAAATAACTGTGCAACTTTCTGCTACCGTGATCAATTTTTGTGTCACTAAAATTAGGTATAATAATAATAATAAAAAGAAGAAGAAGAGGTGGGAGAATGACACTACGACGTACTTTTTTTCCACCAATTTGGAATGCACATAACCACACGTGGAGAAATAAACAAACTGAATAAACATATGTGGTAAATGTGAATGAATTATCTGTCGCTACAGGACTGAGAGAGAGAGAGAGAGCATCGACCAGAAATTTTAAAATCATATCTGCCCCCCCCACACACACACACTCACACACACACAGAGCATAAGGCCATCAGTCATGGAAAAGGGGATAGGGTGTATGATTACAATAAAAAGCATAGATAATAATTCTACTAAATAGTAATAATAATAATAATATTCACATATGCATAAAGCATAACACATTAAAAAGGTATAGAGACACATATCATTCAACAAAGTGTTTACAGCTTTCCCAAATTCACAAAAAATGCTTCACAGTCATGTTGGATAAATTATTATTAAACGAGTCTGTATTATTTATCTTTAATAAAATGAACACACAAGCACAAAATAGAGACACACAGTGAAATTCACATAAACGCGGGCATCTCTCCACACCTTTTTGCAAAGTATATGCATCACTTTGCATTTCACTTGTCTTCAGCATAGAAAGACAAAGTGGATGGATGGATGGATGGATGTGCATAAAAATTTTGAACTAATTGTTTATTTTATCAAAAAATTCTATGGAAAACCATTATTATTATTATTATGATAACAAACAGGGAAATGGTAGGGTCATTTTTATTCTACTTTGAATAACACATCTATTCATTTTTCAAGTATTGGTTTGTAGAGATTTGATTGATTGGTTACAGGATTTCATCATGAGCTGGTTTCGGTTAGAGAACCACCGGAAAACCTTCGAGGAGTACTGGACAGATGTTTCGTTAACTTAGTTTCGGACTCCAACGCCAGGGTTCGAACCCAGGGCCTCCTGGTTAGAAGGCCAGTGAGCTCATAGACCATTGATCTACTGGGACCCGATCCAGTGGAGTACTATTGAAGAGTCTCAAACTAGGCTGACGAAACAACTGTCTGGCAGTACTCCCTGCAGGTTTCCTAATGGTTCTCTAACCGATGTCACCTCATGATGACATGCATTCGTTATTTAAAAGTTTCATAAAAATGGAAACTCTTACTATAAAAAAGGATTTTTTTTAGTAAGGTGACAAATCCTCAAAAGAGTCCTTACAAAATTGTAAAGCACTAGATACATATTTTATCCCACATTGATAGAGTTTAACTATCCACACCTGCGACTACACCAGGGATAAGTAGATAGAACTGAAAACCATCAGATTTTCAAGAAAGGATGTTACCATTTAGCCAGTATGTAGAAATAGAATAACCGTCAACTATGAATTGGAGACGCAGTGGCATTCATGTCAATTGTCAAAGAGTAACTTCTTTCCTGTGAGTGTTGGTTGATCTCCTCAATTGTTGTCTGTCATCAGAACTCCAGGCAATACACTGTGAGGAATGTTTTTACTGGATAATTTAATATTGCAGAAAATTTCCATACCAAATGTAGGCCACTTTCATGTTATCGTTGGTTATGGCCTTAGAATGAGTCAAGGCCTTAGTAACAAACTATACCACCAGTCTTATTATGAATCCTATGTAAAGATGACTAGTCTCTGGTACAGTTGAGTGGAGGTTAGGTGGTGAAGTTCTGTCGGCAGTTATTTCCCGCCAGCTAGTTTGATACATATGGTAAAGGACTAGGGCATGAAACGCAGTCTTATTTCAGTCACGCCTGGCTTTTGTTAAGAACAGTAATATTAACAGTGTTTTCACTAAATAGCAGCTACGAACTGTCATCTTTCTAATACAATAGCTTTAAGCCTGAAGTTAACATAGGTGGAGAAATTACAAGTTTATCATCCATAATTCTTTCGGTTAGTGATAATCTCACGATCAAATGTAAGATGGACATAGCACCTCTGTTCGCATAATTACATATCACCAGCTGGTTCAGATTAAAATGGTTATTCATCAGGATGAGAAAGGGCTGGTTAAACGCTGAAACTCCAGAAAGTCAAAGGTTCAATTCTAATATGAATTTAGCCCATCTATTTTTTTTACTATCTAATGGCAAATGATTCCAAACAGCAAAGGCTAACACGATTCGAGTGAAACAACCAAAGAAGCAACTCCAGCCACTACTACTACTGCCATGAAATGCCTTCAGTGGAGACTATAAATTCATGAACTCGTATTATTATCTTTCCTAGTTTGCCTTTCTATTACTCAGTGTATTGTTATGTTGATGCTATCATACTGTAATCTATTGATGTTATTGATTCAATGTTATTTAAACATTAATGTTGTTAATAACACTAACTGAGTCACTATAATTTGCATATATATAACTGTAGAACCTGATGAAGAAGGTGTTATCGAAAAGAATATTCTTTGTTCAGTAACCATTCTTTTGACAATTGAAATACACATTTATGAGTAATCCTCTAGTTTAATGAAAGATGACATTGATAGATATCACACAGGAAAAGTGAAAATTACAATATATATTTCGCATTCATTAATAACGAGACTCATTCAATCCTAAAACACACTGTAGAGGGGAGATTAATATTAAGGAAACTAACAAGGATGCTTAGTTACGTGGGAAGTAGCGAATTCTTCACAATTACAGATGAACTGTCTGAATAAACGCCGTAAGACATATATACTTCATATCAACTTGGAAGTATTTTTTCGTGCTCGAGAACATCTCCCACTATCGCTAATTGAAGGTGTAGTAAAAACCATTAACAGTTCGATATTGGACCATCTGGTGCAAACCGGCCGGGCACAAAGCCAGTCAGCGTGAATGAATCCTTCTCTATAATCTACCGGGTGCCTAATAAATTGCCAAAATTATCAAAGCACCACATGTTCCAAACAGCAAAGCTATTGTTCTGTGTTCAAAAAAAGCAAGTCCAGCCACTACAACTGCCCTGACCAGCCTTCAGTAGAAACTATAAACTCATGAATTTGTACTATTATCTTTCCTAATTCTTCTGACATTCAGCTTATTTTATGTTGATGCGATTCAGCTATAGTCTATCAATATTATTATTAATTCTATGTTATTTAAACAGCATTAATGTTGTTCACAAAACTAATTCATTCATTCGCTATAATGTATATATATAACTGTAGAGCCTGATGAAGAAGGGTTTATCGAGAAGAGTACTCTTTGTTTAGTAACCATTCTTTTGACAAATATTTCATAAATGTTTTGCTGACTCCATTAGCCCAAACCCAAAAATAAAACACATTGAAGAATTTTACGGAAACGACTCAGTCAGACAGTCAGTGAATTCAAATTGACGAGTTATCACCATGAAGTCAGAAAATATTCTTTTTATACGTAATTTAATAGAAAATCGATCTTTCTGCTTATTTTACAGAAACTCAAAAAAGGGTGACTAGAGTTTAGTTGAACATTAAATTAAGTTATTTAAGATAACACGTTGTATTTAAGTTTTTGAACACGATGAATCGTTCACTGTTGCTATGATATCTTTGCTATAGTTAAAGACAAAAGTTGGCATTCTAGATGATATGTAACACATAATTTTCTTGTATCATATAAGACAATCTAATATGATGTGATTTCAAGTGGAACATAGGTCTTCAAGCCAGAGGTTTGAATTTATGATACAAGTGGTTTTATTTCCACGGCGTGAGGTTGTTAGCCAGCCTTACGCCTAACCTTCCTTGGTAAGGTTTACGAGTGCGTCCGCCGCGGATTAAATGCTTGACCACCAATTCGCACAGTATAATGTGATACTGTTCCCAAACACAAAGGTGAATTTAACTCACTCTATGTGACATATGGATTGTTCTAAAATGCTTTTGAATTATGTATCCGAGAAGATATATGCGTCGGTGGCACAGCAGTGGAGTGATTGCCAACCACTCTTCATGTGGTTCAGGGTTCGATCCCCGACCGACGTACTCCCAAACCTCTCTAAGATTGTAATAAGACTGGTAAAGAGGGAAGGTTGGGCTGGGCATGAGGCTAGCAACCCAATCCCGTAAAAATAAACACCACTGTTACCGAAACTTCAAGCCTTTAGCTTGAAGCCTTATGTTCCACTGGGAACGTAAAGAAATAAAATAAATTAACATAAATAATCTGAGAAAACGTAGTGTTAGCACATAATGAAATGATGGCTCCTTTAATGTCTTCTAGTTTATCTACGAAGCTGATAGTATGGTCGGATATTGCTACGTAGTCTAAAATAAATCTTTAGAAAACACGGGTCATTATGTTACATATTGATTGCTAAATATATATGTACATAGTGTGACTTCAGGTGTCAAAGTAGGTCACATACTAAATGATTTCAAGTCTTTCTTTTACATCCCTGGGGGGACTGTATGCTTTTACTTATTGACGTAACCAATAATTAGTGTCGTGTTCATTTTCACCATATTAAATAATATAAAATATTGTATATTGAAAAGAAATGTAACACATAATGCAACAATTTCAAGGTAATCTAAACTTACTGGTTTACGATTAGGAAGATTTTTTACAATTCCATTACGAAATGCACGTCTACATGACATTGGTGAATAAGGAAATTGTGAATTCGATAAAAGTAATGAATCTTTGATAAAATTCTTTGAAAATTCACTTGATAAATCATTAGGTTCTGATATATTTGAAATAAGTTCATTATTTCTGTCATATTGACTAATCAATTGATTCATTTTTGTATCACAATTATCTCGAATTCCTGGTGTTTTAATGTCTTCTAGTTTAGTAACATCAGACTTAATGTTTACACCATTATCATAATTTGTAGGTCTTGATGTAGATAACCAATTGTTTGGAAATGACATATCTGGATCTCCTGTGTCTTCACTCGACTTTTCATCTTCACCATCGTCTTCGTCATCATCACCACCACCACCGTCTAAATCTTGATCATTTTCTTTCTCCTCTTGTTCATGCAACCGTTGACCACAAGGATGACAGAAAAAATGACCAGTACCATCTGGATGTCCATTGGAATAAATTTGTCGACCACATTTCACGCATTCTTGTCTGGTTTTTGGACCGAATCGGTCTAAGGATGATTCTGTCGTATTCACTAGATTGAAATTTTTAAAAAAAATTTATAAAATCCTTAACAGTAAATAATCATTATATTCCTGGTAAAAAAAAGCAAACAACATAACTAATTATCACATCAGAGTTACTTTTCGGAGTACATCCAAAAATCCTGTTGTAAAAATACGTAGAGAATGACAGGATAGATTACGAATATATCTTTCTACTAAGGGATCAAGAACTTTATTCCTTTATTTGTGATCATAATTTTCCCTTCAAAGGGTTAATAAACTCACTTTCTGCTTAGAGTTTGTTTTGCAGAATGGTAATGAAAGGGAATGAATGTTCAAGCATCTCCACAGTTACTATTATATTAAGATAGCTAGTTTTCCAAGGGTCATACTTTTAGATTCGTAATGGTATATTAACATTTTCAAAGCTCTCTCTCTCTCTCTCTCTCTCTCTATATATATATATATATATATATATATATTACTGGCCAATTCAGCACTGGGTAACTAGGCTGTACACTATTCGTCGTTTGTGAATCATCTTGTACATGGCACAGTTAATGTCGGAGAGTTTGACGATTGATTTTTTTGTGTACCACTTGGTTATAATAAGTTTTTCGGCATTTTTTTGCCCTTCATTCATTGTCAAAACTGATATTTGACTTTCTAATTCAAACATTCTGAAATCTTCCATAGCGTCGTCTAAGTCATCTTTAATTTCAACGGAGTTTTTAAAAAATACAGCCGTCAAGAAATGTACACCGTGTCCAATATTTTTAAAATGACAGCTCTGATCATAAGCTAGCATCTGTCAGAGAACCACTAGAAAATCTGAAAGTAGAAGACAATTGTTTCGTCCTTGTTTGGGAATCTTCACCACCTGGGACCTTCCGGTTACAAGGCGAGTTCGTAGAACATTCAGACACTGGAATCCGACTCAATGGCGCGTGAATTCCGGCTTCTTACAGTTCACGATATACATATGGTGTAACCACCAACCAACACTGTCATCTGTGAGCAGTTGTTCTCTTACCTGACATGATGGTCGCCACTGGTCACAACTTCTTACTAGAAATGCAGGTAACTTCCTGTATGGAGCCTGTTGCTAGTGTGTATCAGATTAATTTTCAATTGTTGATTTACAAGGGTTTGTTTGAAATGCCGGTGGGTATGTGCTGCTGAAGAGTCCCAAACTACAATAAAACAGCTATACAGTACTCTCTGGTCTTCCAGTGGCCCTCTAACTGATAATAGCTCATGATCACTCTTGCAATCAATCAAATCCTTGCAAACCAAGGCTTGAAAATCTTAAAAATTCTCAATGGGTAGACTACCTGTCTATCATTACATTGCACTGATCTACGTACCCTACTTGAACTCATGCAGCCAGGTGAGAACCTACGGAGAGTTGTCATCTGAAGTGGTGACAACCAGTGGTGTCTGTCAGGGATAGTCACTGCCCAATTTCTGTTTAATTTCATTTGCATCAGTGGCACAGCGGTTAGGACTCTCTCCGACCTTGTACATGGTCCGGGTTTCGAGGTCCCGCCGACGCACACCTGATATCTATGGTCGGCCTGCGAAATTCGGGCTACCGATATCACATGCTGAAAATTCCATACCTGTAGCAAAAATACGGAGTGGAATCAAGCTATAATCAAAATATTAAAAAAATCATAGATATACTCTAAGTAACTTCATTAACTCAGGGATTGACTTGTTACCAGGATATATTCTCGTCGACTTAGAATATGCAGACTATATAGTCCTTCTAGGTGAAGACGCTGACAAAATAGAATAGAGTCTTCTGAACACCTTGGGCAGAATTCTGCAAATGTTTGTCATGTCATTTGCTCCTACTGTCAAATGTAAGATTATGCTACAAGACTGGACTATACTGACTTCTAGCTTAGAAATTTGAAATCATTTTGAATCAGCCATGTGGGGAAATGTATACTTCTTGGTTGTGGTCCTCGGGATGGTAAAAACCAGTGGCTGGAGACAATTGGTGGTGATATGGCTCAAAATCCTTCTCAATGACGCAGATACATTTACTGTTTGTCATTTATCATATCCAATAAAAAGCTACTGTTCTTCCATATTACTATTCTTTTCGCCTCCTATTTCTGTTTATTATCTCTCTGTTTTGAATGTCTCTTCACTCCCTTCTCTTGCTTTCTGTGCTACATGGAGGGAGAGTGGTAACTAGAATTGCTGCAAACCTGTGCAAAGTTCAGAAGGTTGACACCAGTCATCCAGTCAAAACATTTTTACTTAAAAATTAACTTTTTTCGTCAGATTCTAATCACTCCAAATGAACCTTAAAAGTATTTGAATTGATATCTAGAAGATTAATGCAAAAAACTGCTGCTGACGAGTGCTGACGATAATCAGATTCAACTAGACAACTGATTATTCTTGTGACGTATATAAATATGATGCGATAAACACGAATGAAATTTATATTTATTAAAAAGTGCTTCACTGTTTGTTCATTATTTTACAGTAAATAATTTTTTTTCGTTTTCTCTTTTTTAACTATTTTTGAAGTAATATGGTGCGATTTTTGTAGTTTGGTCAAAGTTGTCTAGATTCCTAAGACAAATTTCTTTTGTATTGCTGAAAAGTGTCTATGGTCATTTCTTGTGCTTGACGTGTAGAGAAAGTGACTACAGTTAGTAGACTGGTACGTACTAAGAATATTCAGCGACATAACTGTAAAATATAAGTGAAGATATGCTACCTGTGTTCCAGACTATTGAAAGCCTTATGTATCTACTAGTCTATCTTTGTGATACTTAATTTTAATTGTTACCAATTTAAAGAACTGAGAAACTCGGAAATATTGAGCAGCCGTTTCGTCCTGGTATGGGACTCTTCACAGTAGGCATCCACTGGAGCTCGAACTCAGGAGCTTCCAGTTACAAGTGGAGCCCGTAGACCATTCTCACACTTGGACTCCATTCAATAGCCAGTTCATAAATTCTGACTTATGCCGATTCACGATTTTAGTCGGACCGCCATTTGACGTCATCGGTGAGTCTTTGTCCAGTACTCCCTGGTTTTCAATGCTTCTCTAACTGATATCGATCTGTTCACAATCTCCATACAAATGAGATCCCTATGAACTAACTCTTGAAAATTAATCTGATGCTTGCTACTGAGTGGCTACAGAACGAAGTTGCCTGGAGTTCTAGTGGGAATTTGTGATCACCGGAGTTCCACGCGGATGTCAGTGAAGACAGCTACTCGCTGATGAAATTAGCTTGAAACACTTACGATCCCTACAGACTAATTCTTGAGTAATAACCGTATTAACATTGATTACTGACGTTTTCTGCTGGTGACTGCAATTGTTCATCTTGATTAAGTATATGCAGGAAATTGTTCCTGCGGTCATCTAATAATCATGAAACCGTATATATATATATATATATATATATACGGTTATTGATGATAGTAGGCCAGTCCATATTAACCTGTGGATAACAAATCCTAGATATAGTAGAAAGGCTCTGAAGTATTGGACTGAATACATAAATATTTTCTTTAAGGTAAACGGGTATCCAAAAGTTCAGCAAAGAAAGAGATGAGAAAGAGAAGTATCCAACAGTTCATTTGCCTCCCATACAATGGAGAAACAGTATCACAAAAGATTGAAAAGAGGATGAAGGGAGCAATAAAGACGTGCTTCCCTGCACCCAGTCTGGTGACACTTTACAATACTACATGCTCTATAAGGCAATCGAAACTGGATAAGTACCCTGCTGATGTTACCTCCAACTGCATTTATAAATTCACGTGCACCTGCGGCAGCAAGTACATTGGAAGGAGAAATAGAAGGGCTTCTATTCGGTTTTCAGAGCATATTCCAAGAAATTTGTGCCTAAAAGGAAACAGGTATTTACAAAGTGCAATTACCCACCCTGTGGATACGGGTCATTTTGTCGATATTTCCAAAGCCTTGAAAATATCAAACATACAAAGGACAGCGAATCTACTACTATTTGCTGCTGAAACAATTGCAATCAAATGTCACAGACGAAACTTATGCCCACAGAAAGAGAGTGTAGTCAATCTCTCACTCCCTTGGTAACCACACTAGTGGGCTCAACTCACTAAGCAAGTTTTCAAAATGATGAACTTTGACCTTCTTCTCACACACCCGTTTTACTTTTTTCATAGTTTGATAGTTTATAAATTGATGGTAACTTAAACTATAAATTATAATACTTATATTCCAAATGCGTTCAACTTATAATGTTCTCTACTAACTTTCAAACAATAAAGTATGAAATGTTATCATTTATAACCATTGTAATTTCAGATAGTGGTATGCAGTTAGCTGATGAGAACCTGTGAAATAAACTGATGATATCATTTTATACTGCAAACCTGATCTTTCTCTCTCTCTATCAAAATTTATCAAGGGAACCAAATGCATGAAATATTTTCCAGTTATTTTTGGGTACGTGATTTTCTTTTTCACTCCAAAACTGAATGAACAGTACACCACAGAGATTCTACCGCCAGCTACCATCTATTATAAAAACAGTTCAGTTGTCTGATTCTGCTTTTTTTTATCTCAAAATGAGAAATGTTTGGAAAGCTGGTTTTGATTCTGGTTACAATCTTGATTTTGTTTTATAGTTGATTATCGACTAATGGCGTCCGTCCGACCGTCAATCAAAACTGTTTAAGACGGTTTGAGTAATTATATAATTTTGTTTGATTTAAGACAGCAATCTTACTAAACTGTTCTCAGGAGTACTCTAAGTCTAATTATATATATATATATATATATATATATATATATATATATATACAGAGAGATTAATTTCTCCTCAGCGAATTTGAAGATAACAGCTTTCGATGCTTTCAAAAACAAATAAAACTGTCGTCTCATTGTTATCAAACGTCACGATAAGCATTTCAAACGTTAGAAAGGTCACTCAAATGATATCAGGAATGAAAAGGTTGAGAAAGTTGATAAAAAGAAAGAAAGAAGAAAGTTACAGCTCACTCGTAATGACGACAATTAACTGATAAGAAGAACAAGAAGTAGAAGAACAACTGGTCATGACGTCATCCGAATTAAGATGAAATACTGCTTTAACACTTTCCATAGAAGTCAGTTGTTAGTTTGTACACCTTTTGTTTCCTTATCTATGCACGTAGTTCAATCTATCAGATTACATATCAAGTATTACGTAATTTGTTTTGTAGTAGTTGTTTGTTTTCTTTTATCTTTGAGCAAGTGTAACCTATACTTATCTGCTCTCTACCTGTAAAATAAAGAAGTGATCCAGTGGATTTAGATGACCACATTACACGTCTACTTCCACTATTATTAAAAAACATACGCTTTGTTTACAGAAGTAATCAACAATAAAAAGTATTACTGAAACTTATAGTTATGTTTTAAACCTGCTCATAAATACAAATATATAATTTATTGTGCTATTCAGTTGAATAAATTAAAGTGAACTCAGGAACAACACTTTTGCTTATGGAAAAGTAATTTTCAAGTATTGATTTTTGTAGGGATTTTGTTTTTGATTGCGTGGAGGATTTCACCATGAGTTGACATCAGTTTGAGAACCACTGGAAAACCACCAAGGAGTAATGGACAACCGACTGTTTCGTCCTAGTTTGGGACTCTACATCAGTACGAACCCACCATTGGAGGGTTTGAACCCAGGGCCTTCTGGTTACAAGGCCAGCGAGCTCGTAGGCCATTTAGCCACTGGGACCCGCCAACCCAATGGTCAGGGCATGAATTCTAACTTCTGCCAATTCACGACATAGTGCGACCATTTCTCAATGTCTTCTTCAATGAGTTACTGTCTCATCTTTAACCTGCTGTACCTGAGTGGTTACGGCTTCCCACTAGAACCCCAGGTAACTACCTACCTGAATAGGGCTAGTCACTAGTGAGCTTCAGATTGACGCAAATGACGTCAGAGTAATTGACGTCAGAGAAAAAAGATAAGCAAAATATGGCGACACGGAGAGTAATTAGCAAAAAGTTGTGAGATGAAAACAGTTTTTTGTTTGTTTGTTTTTGTTTTGACATGGATTTTAATCACTGCACAAGAGTAAAGATAATCACATCACATGAACAGGCGACCAACTTTTAACCACTATAAAATCTCTGTACTTTCTTATAGGCTAAAGTAAAGATTCTGTTTTTAATTATTGCTTCTAAGATCTTTTGAAAATACGAGATCAAAACAGTAGTGGAGACTTCATTAACTTGAATTGTTGTTTTGATCACAGGTGAAGAGTAGCAATTAGAAGTGATAAATATCCAGGGACACTGTATTTTCAATCCTACATTTCCTAAACTGGACCTGAGCCAGTGACTCAGGGGTAAAATGTTTTTAAGATAGAGTGGTGTGTATCAGTGTGTATCAGTCCTGAAAGTCATTAACGCATTCAACGGAAACAACCTCAAATTAGAATTTAAAGTTAGGGATGACTAAACCGAAAGTTAGCACTAATTCATAAGGCCAAAAGTTATTTTAGTGAACTATGTAGGCATGTTTTGATAGTACGATTCAAAATGTCAAGGAATGGTAGTGACGTGGTTCGAACTGTTAAATCGGTATTGAATGATTCTCCTTCATATACTCATTGTAGTATAATTCTATGTATGTTCTCTTCTTATTAATATGGTGACACAAATCGGTGCACTTCTGTGCAGTTTCGCGTACTGTAATAAACAAACAATTAAAAATAAAAAATCATTTAGTTGTACTGGAAATTTTAATTTACCAGGAAAGTTCCGTATGAATTTATTTCTTACAGTAATTACCACGGGGAATTGGGACATTAATACATACCACATGAATGCGCCAACAAATCTTCGTATAACAGACTTATTTTGTAAGAATTTGATTTGTTTTTCTAGTTAGACCATGGATTAATATGAGTTGAAAAATCATTTAAACCAGGGAGTACTGAACAGCTGCTTCATCCTAGTCTGGAAGCCATCTACAGTACGCACCCACCAACAGGGTTCGAACCCAGGGTCTTCCAGTTACAAGGTGAGCTCGTAGACCATTCAGCGACTGGAACCCGACTCAATGGTCCATGAATTATAAATTCTACCAATTATTAATTTTTAACACGACCACCAACCACTGTTATCGGTGGGAACTCCATCCTGACTCCCGACTAGATGGATTTCACTGGTCGCGAATTTTCACTGGAACTCCGTCCTGTAGCTAGTTACTAGCGAGCATCAGATTACTTTTCAAGAGTTAATTTGAAGGGATTCTGTTAATTTTAGGTTAGACTACAGATCGATATCAGTTTGAGAACAATTGAAAACCATCAGGCAGTATTGGACATCTGTTTCATCCTAGTTTGTTTGATCATCGTGGTAAAATCACGAACTGATATAAGTTAGAATTCATTGGCCATTGGATTGGGTCCCACTGGCTGAATGGTATTGATTTGTACATGTAACTGGAAGGTCCTGAGATAGAACTCCAGTGGGTGCGTACAGCCGATGATTCCCAAATTGGGATGAAGCAGCTGTCCAGTACTCCCTGGTTTTCAATGGTTATCTAACTGATATCAATCCGTGGTCTAACTAAAAAGATAAAATAAAATCCTTACAAATCAACTCCTGAAAACGCAGACTCAGTAAAACCAAATTTACTCACATTTTTCTTTGACTAAGGGTTTTAGCTGCTTGTCTTTTAGTTTCATGTTATTGATTTAACAAAATTTTCCTTTATAAATTTTAATATAATACTTATAAAGCATGTAATCCTAAGAAATGTCAGCAGTATTTAAACGTGATGATGTTCACCGGACATCACCATGAGCTGACATCTGTTGGAGAACCATTGGAAAACCTGCAGGGAGTACTGGACAGTTGTTTCATCCTTGTTTTGGACTCTTCATCAGTACGAACCGATGTCTAACCGATGTCAGCTCATGATGAAATCCTGTAACCAATCAATCGAATCCCTACAAATCAAAACTTACCATTTGTGTTGGCAGATGTATACGGCATCATATTCATTTCGTAGTCATGTCGATTTAATGCTGAATTCAAATAGATTGTTCTTCCTGGTGTCATATTATTATTAACATTTTCTTGCAGAGAATAATTAGATGTTATTGAACGGTGTGAGGAATTCCCTGTATTTTCATCACCACCAACATCATATTCTCCACTAATGCCTGTTATTGGTGAATGTAATATTTTATCGAAAACTTCAGAATTTAATGTGGATGAATTAGCTTGTAGGGTTCTTTTACATTCTGTTTTGTTGGGTGAAAAATTGTTTCTTGAATCATCTGTTTCAGATTTGACTGCTGTATGATTCAACTTTTCATGTGTATTATCTGCATATCCGCTGTAAACTGAATATGGTGGACAAGTAGGTCGATAAACACCAGTTAAATAATTCGATACAGAATTCAGACAGTTTAATCTACTCTCAGAATTTAACAGATCATTAGGGAAAATATTATAGGTATTATAATCATGACAATTAATGTCTGTGGAATCACATTGAGTTTTAATTTTAGCATTTCTATGATCATTTGGTTTGATTATGATGCTTGATGTGAACTGATTACTTGTTAACTTTTCTTCTGGATTACAATTAGTTTGACCTTCACTGAAAGTCATTTGATGATTACTCTGAAGATTGTTATATTGATCGGAATAAGTTTGTAATTGAAGTAAAGAAGTTGATGTAATTGAATTGAACATATGTGAAGGGGGAGGAGGTGTAGAAAATGTTGAGCATGGTGAAGTGTTCTCAGATTTCTTGATTAGTCTGTTCAAATCAGTGAAATACTCTGTCGGCGAAGTGCCAGTAGTTGATAACTCATGAGAAGAGATGGTAAGCATATTTCTTTTATTTGTTTGTTTGTTCTGAATTCCTGTGTTGTGTGTAATGATAGGAAGGAAGCGTAATCCACCTAGAAAATTGTTATAAAAAGAACATGCGATAATAAAAGGCTTTATAAAGGGCTCTATGACAAAATAGATGCAAGAAAACATGTCAATACTTAGAAATATATTTACGAAAACATGGACGTTTAATAATGCAATAATGTGGCGCCTATAAATACTGAGAACTTGAATTATAATTTCATAACAAGTTGTGACAGGACTGTGCTAAGTAAAAGATCAAATAGTCCTACAACACACATCCAGAATTTTACTTAACACAATGGAAGAAGAAGTTATTCTTCTACTACTACCGCGTTACTCAATGAAATCCAGCCTAGATACTTAATTTCTAGTATGACAGACATTGAAAAATGCATGTGATTGCATATTTGTCAAGAAATTAGATTACTCCATGCCGTAGTGTATGTGGAATAAAAAATATAGTCTTAGTTTGTCGCCAAAGTATATATTGTTGTCATGAAATTGTTCATCGAGTAAAATGAAGTTAAAAGTGTAAATGAAATTTAATTAGCTTTACTAAATCATGGGACTCAAATGAAGAATAAAGTTTGAAACAGGGCCATAAGTATTTAATTGGTGGATGGTGACTAGCAGTGGAATCCAGGACAACGCGCATTTCATCCTATTTGGCACTGGTCAGCTGGATGTACCTGCATTCCTCAGTGAGTGATGTTGTTCCCACCGAGGCTCGAACCCAGCGCCCATAGTTTCAAACGCCAAAGCGTTATCCACTAGACCACTTGGGCATCCTGGATTTCACTGCTAGTCACCATCCACCAATCAAATACTAATTAAATGCCCAGACACTGTTGAAGCATCTGCACAAGAAGCCGACATGTCAACCTGAGACCGAGAGCTTCTGTCCAATCAATCGACGGGAAAATCTGAAATTCAATTAGAAGGACTATAAGTGATTAGAGAAGATGAATGTGGGCTAAATTAACATTTGTATATAATTGATAAATGCAACTTCGATAGACACAAAAATGAACGCATAAATCCACATGCATGGACGATAGACTTTAACTGACAGCTAAGAATGTACAGCTAAATTTCAAAACATTTAACGAGTGATGCATATAACTAATCCCGTTTTCAAGTATTGGTATTTTTAGGAATTTAGCTTGATTGGTTGGAGGATTTAGTCGTCACGAAACAGCTGTCCAGTACTTCCAGCTGGTTTTCAAGTGGTTCTCAACTGATATCAGCTCACGATGAAATCCTCCATGCAATCAAACTAAATCCCTACAAATACCAATACTTGAAAGTTCATCTGATGCTCACTAGCGGCTGGCCCTATTCAGAGAGTTACCTGGAGTTCTAGTGGGAAGCCATAACCAGTAGGGTACAGCAGGTTGAAGATGAGGCAGTGACTCATCAAAGAAGATATTACGAAGTGATTCCACTATGTCATGAATTGGCAGAAGTTGGAATACATGCAGTGGCCACTGGATCGGTGGGTCGCAGCGGCCTAAATTGCCTACAAGCTCACTGGCTTTGTAACCAGAAGGTCCTCGGTTAAAACACTAGTGGTGAGTGCATACTATTGAAGAGTCCCAAACCAGGACGAAATAGCCGACTGTCCTGTACTCCTTGGTGGTTTTTAATGGTTCTCTAAATGATATCAACTCGGGATGAAATCCTCCAGGTAATCTAGTTTTGACAGGGTGAGTCAAAAGCTGAATGTTTATATGTTAAAATCTCCTGCTTTAAAACTCACTGGTAAATACTAGATTTCTAGAGGAATTATACCCTTATTTTTAGACATACATAAGCCTCTATGGTGAGTACCATTAAATAAAACATCTAGGATGAGAAGGAGGACACTTCTAGTTGTCCCCTAGACTGCAGTGCCGAAGTGTAGTCAAAAACATCTCCACATCACCTGAATAACTTATGAAATTCATGGTCACATTAATAAAACTCAACAAATACATAAGACTAGGTTATTTCTAGTAACGACTCTGCTAGGAAAGCTTGGGGAAAGACTAATTTTCGGCTTGCAACCATGGTGATGTGTATGATACTGATACGTTTTGGAGTAATAGCCGCTCTGTCCAATCTGTATTCTGGATCTATGCTTATGACTATTTCCTAAAAACAAGATCTATTTGCTGAGTGGTAGTTGCATTTCGATGATCGAAGTACACCTCTAAGTTTCACTCTATGGCTACTCTTCTGAAATACTCGAAAATATAATGCAGCATACCTGACAGTGCGTTTTGTATTTATCTAAGCTAGGTGGCAACCCATACAACTCAATATCTGAGGTGGCAAACGGCTTTACTTGGGCAGGATGTTCTGTGTCAGTGTTTACTAAATCCTCATCTGTAATTTCATGTTAAGCATTCGCAAACTATTCCCTATCACCAAAAGCTATCATTAGCAAATGAAAAGTAATCACACTTTCCTAAAAAGGAAATTTACTTAGATCAGTAAATTCTGGTTCCAAATAAACTTGCAACTGGACAGATCACATGTCAATCAAAAATGATAACGTCAGTACTGTGATAAATTTATTCAAGTATAAGAAAACATACATTGACTGATAGTTTCTATCTATAAGTCTAAACTGAACACTGACATTTTCATCAGAAGATGAATTATAAAGTGAAAATGAACCGCTCTTTGTAAGGTCAGAATAGCTAAAATTTCATACTTATTCACATATACTGACATATGACACAACTAATCTAAAGAAAAAAGGTAAAGTGATCAAGTGATATATTGCCAAAAAAAAATGTGAAAGTGGTTGGCATTGAAATTCAGTGATTCTATCCTGTTTTCTAGCTTTCTAGTTGAATTTTCCTTCAAAAATTCATTTACATGAAATCTAATGATAAAAAGTTAATGTGGAATGTAATCTGAGGTTCAGTGATGAATGTTTCATTTCAGCATAAAGAATACTTCAACGAAACTAAATAGTAACTGGATAACATCAAAATAAGTTCTGTTGAATGGCACTTCTAATCAAGAAGTACTCAATAATCAAAAGGTGAACTCACAGATTTAATTAATTACAGGAGTTCGTCATGAGCTGACATCGTTTAGAGAACCACTGGAAACCCTGGGAGTACTAGACAGCTGTTTCGCCTGCATACTTTGGTAATCTTCAGTAGGGTAGAATAGGTTGGGCGTGAGGACAAATATTCTCCACGGATGACATTGGCTAGTGGTCGCACTATTTCGTAAATTTACAGAAGTTAGAATTCATTGGCTGGCCATTGGATGGGATCCCGGTGGCTCAATGGTCTACGAGCTCCCTGGCCTTGTAAGCAGAAGGTCATGGGTTCAAACCCCGGTGGGTGTGTACTGATGGAGAGTCCCGAAATAGGCAGACGAAACAGTGGGTTGTCCAGTACTCCCATTTGGTTTTCCAATGGTTCTCTAACTGATGTCAGCTCATGATGAAGTCCTGTAACCAATCAATCAAATCCCTACAAACCAATACTTGCATAATAGATTTAAGTTGTTAGTTTCATTATGATAGGTGAATGGTTATATGCTCAACGTCGGATCTCGAAACCCATCATTCATTTGAAGATGGAATCATAAATATTGCGCGAAACAATTGCTTACTCATATGTCTGTCTGTCTATTTTCGACATAGAACTTTGCACAAATGTGCGGTAGTTCAGGTCGCCACACTTCGTGTAGCACACGAAGCAAGAGAAGAAAGTACAAGAAAAGCATAGTAGAGACAGTAAAAAGAGGTGTGAGACAAAGGAGGAGTAATAACGAAGAACAAAACAGTTTCATTTGAAATCATTAGCCACAAGGAGTGGATGCCTCTGCGCCACTGAGAACGATTTTGAGCCATGTCACCAATTGTTTCCAACCATTGATTTTTACCGTCCCGAAGACCCCAGCCTGGAAGTCTACACCTTCCTATGTGGCTTAGACTAACTGTTGTAGATATCATTGACTGTTACCAAGTTTTTGTTTGACCGCCGCTAGCTTTTTTCCAGCCTGACCCTACATCCACTAACACTGCTCGTCGAGGGAGGCGATGATTTGGCATAAGTAACACATGTCCTAACCATCTCAGTAGATGTAACTTCACAACCTCGTCGATTGACTTCCCCTGCTTACCTAGATCTCGACGCCTAACCTCAATATTGCTCACCTTATTATAGCACTTCACACGGGAAATAGAGCACAGGCACCTATGATCAAAGACGGAGCAGACTGATGAGCAGTACACCCGCCCTTTGGTCGATAGTCGGATATCTTGTCTACGCCAGGGATGGCGTAAACTGGCATATATACGGAACTAGCCCTCTGTATCCGTTCTGAGATTTCATCAGAGATCAACCCGTTGGGGCTGATTCATATGTAGCAGTTTTCCTATACTTATTGATTTACATAGCTCCCTTGACAGATATTGGTTCATAACGAAAACCATACTGAGATTCTCCCATCTCTTTTCAGATTAATAGTAAAGGAATTTTAAATTAAGTGGAAAGTAATTATTACTTGGTGTATTCACTTGGAAACTGACCTGCTTATGAATAATTCTTCAGTTTACGAAAGAAATGAGTGAGTTAGTGTTTTTTTCCTTCGCGTTCCCCAGTGGAACATAGGGCCTCAAGCCAGTGGCTTCAAGTTTCTGTAGCAGTAGTGTTTATTTTTACAGGATGGGGGTTGCTAGCCTCATGACCAACCTTTCCTCTTTTTGCCAGAATTATTTCTGGCTTAGCGAGGTAGGAGTGCGTCGGCCGGAGATCGAACCCCGACCATGTGTATGGTCGGCGAGCGTCCTAACCTCTATGCCACCGATGCGAGTTAGTGTTTTGGTGCATATCAATCAAAAGGATTACTGAAAAACCTTGGATTTTATTTAAAGAACACAGTTGATGTGGATAACATTTAAGGAATCAGTGTGACATTGAACAAACTGAGTAATATAAACAAATAGTATTTTTAACTGACAAAAAGCTGGTAATAAGGGTGATAAGTGCAGAAAGATTTCAATCTTTAATAGACTAGAAATAAAAATTTCTCT